CTAGAAAATGCTGCTAATGATGTTGGACTCTGTCAATGTCTCAAAAACTGTATGCATAGGCTTCAACCAGTAAGTTTAATACAAACTTTGTTGAATTAATAAAATCTGTAATCTTTTATATACCTAGGAAGTGGAATAAATTCTACTGAAAAAGATGTGAAAATTCACATAGCTAAAGCCTGGGCTGCCTTGAATAAAATGGATGTAATCTGGAAATCTGATCTACCAGACAACCTCAAGTGGAGATTCTTTCAAGCCACTGTAGACATGGTGTCTATGTATGGTGCCACTGCTTGGACATTGACTAAAACCCTAGAGTCTAAGCTTGATGGAACCTACACTCAGATGCTGAGAGATATATACTTAATATCTCTTGGAAATAACATCCAACTCAATCACAGCCTATGGACCCAGTGCAGATATATCTACAATGCTTTGCAGGACACCACTAGCAAACAAAACAAGAACTTGTGAGTGATCTACTGCTTTGGACACCTAGGCATGGAGCAAAATGGGTTAGTTGCCCAGCAATCACCTATATTGACCAGCTATGTTATGATACAGAATACTACCTCTTGATGCAAGACTATGATCGTTGGCTTGCTAGACCCATGAATGTCTGAGCTAGTTCAACTGAATAATAATAAAACTCTATGGATGCCACTTGTTATGACTGTTTTTATTCAGTATAAGCAATTTAACTTTACACTTATTGTTGTGGTACGATCCACCTAATTTACATAGTGGAGTACCAACCATATAAATATGGTTGGTACCGGGAAGACGGGGGGAGGAAGAAGAGATCCAATCCAGAGACTCTGCCCGACTGCGACTATGTTAACCCATTCTACAGGAACGGTCTTCCCAAGAATATACCAAACTATCTGTAAATATTGTGTACACGTTCTTGTGTCAATACATTTTGTTTAAGTACATTTTGTGTTGTATTATTATTATTCCACCATGCTTTATTCAAGTTTCAACACTTATATATATATATAAATAAAGTTTTATTAAAAATGATTGACAAGGTACTGTGGTTAAAAAAAAAAACATACATTCAGTTAAAAGCAAAAATAAGATCATCCTTGATAATAGCTAATAGAATTTTTTACATCCAGAAAAGAAAAACTCATAAGAAAAATTAAATTAAAAACTTAAATGCAGTACATAGTTATTTTTAATGAAAATTGTAAAAACAAGGGATTGCTGCCCAAATACACAATTATTAAATTGCAGACCCAGCAGCCAACAAGGAAAGTAATATTACAACATTCAGAAAAAAAATCTTGTTTTATGACAAATAACAACAGTTAAAAATGAAATCCAACATTTAAATAATGAAATCCAAAAACATAATGAGATACTAAAAAACACCTTGACTCTAAAAAAAAAAATCTGTCAACAAACTTATAACATTAAACAATGCTGATGTATGATCCTTGAAAATCAAAAAATCATTGGAGATTACGAACCAGGATACCTATTTGAAAATGTTAAAATGCTTAAGCTCCATTAGGACCCATCAATCATAAATCAGGATACCCACTATGACCCATCATTTCACAGATCCCAACACCAATTAGCAAAATTCCTCAATGATATTATTACTCCATATCTACATACCAATTATAGTATCAAATCTACTCATGAATTTCTCTAAGTCCTTAAAACAACACAACTAAACACAGGCATTTTAGCGTTACTTGATGTAGAAAATTTATTTACAAATGTCACTGTCAATAAAACCATTGATATAATCTGTAACCCTGTGTATAAACATAACTTGATTCCTCCTGCACCCATCAAACATAATATTCTCAAGAAATTACTACATGATTGCACAACTAATGTCCCTTTCTGGTAATATTTATACCCAAACTGAGTTAGTATGCAAAATCAACTTAGACTGAGCTTCTCAAACTACTATATGTGTCGTGGTAAAAACAAGGTATTTAAAAGAGTTACTCAACTTAAAATATATATCCACTATGTAGATGATATTTTTATTTTAAAAAGACATTGATAATCTCAAAACGACATTAAAAAATTCTGTCTTTAACTTTACCTATGAACTTACTCAAAAAAATCCACAAGTAGAAACTCTTGTCACCCTAATTTTACTAGTGAATATCCACTTGAATATAAAATAGGTGCTATAAAAAATTTCCTCATGAGAGCACATGAGAATTCATCCTCTCATGTGTTTTTCTTTAAAGAACTTAACAACATAAAACAGATGCTAGTTAATAACAAACCAAAAAAAATTTAAATACCAAAACAAAATTTAACATTGTTACCAAAACATATGCTTGCTCAGTATACAATATTATTGGTCATACACTGTTTTAGAGACAGATCATATTTTTTCAGCAGTTGGATTTATTTTTAGAAGAATTTGTGTTGACTTTGTTGGAAATATATTTATTTAATATAATGTTGGTATGATGGGAGATGAATGTGCCTGTTATATTAATACAGCTATAGCTGATGTTAACATTATTTTTGTTAAAAATCTTTTTATTGTTGGTGAATGGTTAAAGTACTTACGAATTAAATTTAGGAAAATTCTTCTGATATTAGTTTGGACATTACAGTTAAAAAGTGGATGAAACCATATAATGTTGCGTTTATTGTGTTTCTACTTATTTTTACCTTCTTTGTTTATTTCTAAATACTCTAAATAGATTTTCTGTGTGGGGCTTAAAAAGCAAATTTGACCTAAATTTTATGATTGCTTAATTCTAAAGCCTTTATATATTTACTTTTAGAAATATTTCCTAATTACTGGAGTTGGTAGATAATCTAACTTTGACTGATTTATGTAAATTATCTAGAATTTTGTGGTGTGGTTTGATTCTTTACTAATGTATATATATAGTTATATAGATCTTTTGTGTATGGTTTATAATAACCATTATTCAGGTTTTAGGTTACATCGAGAAAGTTGATCACTTTAGCATTGGTGGTGGTGGTCATATTTATTTTGTCATTTTTGAATAACTTTATCAGTTCCTTTCTCAAACAGCCTATATTTTGTGGGCTAGTTTTACAGAGGAGAATGGCACCATCGTTTCTATAGAGTCCAGTGTCCTTGATGATGTTGAAAATAAGTCTAAGACGCCACAATAATAGTATTCCAACAAGTTTGCATGTCTCCATTGAATCATATACTCCCAAAGAAATACTGTTCCGGATTACTTCTTTTGGTCCACAGATAGCCATTATAGAATAGTATAGGCATTTGTGCCTGTTTTATGATATTTATTTTGCAATCAGTAATAGGAGAGCAATTTATTGCTAGATTTATAGCTAACATTAGCATATTCTCATTAATGGATGGGTAAAAGTCACAAATATTGAATTGGATGAATGTACATTCATTCTATATTAATATATATATATATATAGCAATAATGTATACCAAGTGAGTATACATTCCAGTAACAATGTTAAATTTTATTTTGGTTCCACTGAAAATCCTTGGAAATTTCATCTCTACCATCATTGAATGATGTTAGGTAATATAAAATACAGAAACAGCACTACTTTCTTTAAATAATTCTGGCAATTAAAAAATAATGGTAGTCCCCCTTCTATTAAATGGGATTGTATAACAAGAGCCAAATCTCATAACGGAAAAGGAAATAAATGTAACTTATGCCTTGTTGAAAAATCAGTTATCTTAAAACAATTAAATAATCCAAGCTTATTAAACAAGAAAAATGAATTGATGGTTATAGGTAGGCTTACAAATGAATATCTGCTTAAATACACTGATCTAGATTAATTTTTAATTTTTAATGTAAATTATGGCTTATTTTTAATGTAAATTACTATTTATTTTGAATATAAATTAATGTAATGTTTTAAAAGAAATAAAAAATAAAACAATCAACATTCACAACTCAGTGATAAATTAAAAAACATTTTTTTTTCTTACATACATATTTAAATTACGCTTCTTTTAATTGCCAGATATGACTTTTAAAATTTAAAAGCTGTAATCCCAGTATAATACATAACTACACCAACATTGCAATAACCAGATATATTAAAAATTAAAATTATGTAATGGTAAGTTCATACTCAGCACCTAAAGATTGTGCTGTGCATGAAACTCTGAGTTGTGCTAACAGTGAGGCATGATATGTATATTTATTAATATATACTTAATAGCTCTGTTATATTACATCAAGCACTGTTTTATTAACATCAGCACTCTATGTGCAATATATTAAAATTATATATATATATATATTTTTAATCATTTCACTCTAAGCAAGGCAATAAAAGAACTAAAACAGAAATGGTTACTGAGTGTTAGAGAATATGAGAAAAATAAACACTATTAAGGAGAGGGGACATTAAAAGGACAGTAATTATGAAGACAGAAGATATTGATTAACATTGCATTTTAATTTTTGAAGATCAAAGTTGACTGGGAAGCAAGAGGATTGAAGAGAATTCCACAAGCGAAAAGTGCAAAAGAAGAAATTTTTAGCATAGAACTTACAGTTACATCTAGCCATTTCAACTGTAAAATGATGAGACCTTGCGGTCAGTCTAGTACTGCACTTAAATTAATAAAGTCTAGGTACCATAGAGGAAAGTTTATCAGAACAATTAACCATTAAAGTATTTATAGAAAAGGCATGGGGAAGCTACCTTATGGCAGTGGGAAAGTGACTGAATCTGAGATGCCAGGTCTGGACCAATAATATTCTTTTTGTTATCTTTGGAAAAATTTCACAATTTTATAATTATTTAATAAATATGCATTTAACTTAAATTAAGACAGTGAAAAATTAAATATGTTAACTCTTTGGCATTAGAACTTGTTATTCTTACAGCACAGTTGTTTTCCAGTAATAATTTTGATGGCATGATTATTGTTACAGTTAGAAATGAAAGTAGCAATGAATTTTGTTGATGACTTTCTTTTGTTTTTCATCTTGAAATTTCTTTCCTTTATTACTCTTACCTCATTTATATTTTAGATTATTCATGTGCCCTACAGAAAGATATACTTGTGCATGGGCGCATGTTCATTTCCCAAAACTGGGTCTGTTTCTATGCCAACATATTCAGATGGGAAACTGTAGTAAGTACTTTCTTTTCATTTCATCAAAGTTTTTTAAATATTTTCTGATAAGTTTATTTTTTTTTAGAAATTATTGACTATGTTTAACATTTGAGTTATATTTTAATCTTGAAATATTAATTTTTCTGTCTAAAAATAGAGAGGGAGGTATAACTACAACACAGGTGAAAATATCTGAAATTACTGACACAAGATAAATTTTGTGCTTTTTTCATCTTTGGATTACTTCAGTTTGACTAGTTTTGTATTAAAAATAAAATAAATCAAATATGCACATTCTTTCTTCAGCAAATATAAACATTACTGATTTTTCCTTAAATTATAAAACTTGATATATACTGACTTATAAGAATTTATTTATGTTTAGCATCATTAACATTAGCTTATACAAGTTTTTCACAGAAGAGCTGTATTAAGTTTATATTCATTATCTAATTATCATTAAAAATATTATTTTTGAAAATAAGTCAAACTAGAATTAAGTAAATGTTATACAAAATGAAAAGTTAACACTTATATAACCATTTTTAAGGGATAAATGGGCTCATTTCTTTCAGTAGGTTTTATTATCCTCTTGAAAAAAGTTATATGTTAAAGAGAACAATTAGATCAATATTAGATAATAAGAGAAAGTATATTTTTTGAGCGACTGGCAACTGTATCAGACAGAGTCCCTGTGAAAGTGAAAATGCACATTGAATGGTCAAGTAATAAGCACAATATAGACTAATTGACTAGATTTGTACCTATTGCAAGACTGATTACTTTCCAGTTATATGCAAGTGTAAGATTACAAAAACTAGAAAGATCCAAAGCAATATCTAAACTGCAATATGAAAAATTCCATAGTGACCACATTTGCAGTCACAATTAAAAACAAGTATGATGTTTTGAAACATCAGGAATTCAAAATGAAACAACGTAAAGGAATACTAGTGACAACAGCAAAAGGTCATTCTAAGGAAAGAATGATAAGAAGAAAAAATACTAGATCTATGTAGACTAAATTTCATGGAAAAATCTGTCAAACGAATGTTAGCCTAAGTAATAAGGAATATCAGTATCATTTGTATTGATCCACTTGTGTAAATATTAGTGAGTTTGAGCACAGGTATTTCAAGTTTACACAAGACATGGAAGTCCTTTGGTGTGTTATGAAATAAAATAAGACATATCTCAGCTGATTTACAGGCAAATACTCAAGAGCGAGAGCCGTATGTGAATGGGACAAAACCCCGTCACAAAATGACCATTTTCATTTACAAATGTTCCTGACACACGTGTTCCGGTCAAAAAATAAAATAATATTTAAAGTGCTCTATTTTTTGTCCAATAAAAATGCTTCCCTCCTAATTATACTCGCTTCATTTTTTGAGCCTGTTAAGCCATAAAAAAATGCTATAAAAGGGGTCACACGGAAGTTCAACAGGCAGTCAACAGGTGGCCACATAAGAGACTTGTCATGGTCAGGCTGCTGTCAGCAGGAGAGCATCAACCACCGTCAACATGTGTGAACTACTATGAGACATCGACCTAGATCCGAAACCGGCTTATGAACTTTACCACAAGGTAGCTGTCCCCAAACCTCACGTTCCTGTTGAAATAAACCACGTAAATCTATTTCTGCTGTTGTCGTATTTCTTTCTTGCAACCATACACTTGTCTATAACAGTGTTATTTAAGCTTATCAAAAGTGTCCCTCATCTTTTTACATTTACTCCTGAAAATGTAACTTATAACAACTTGAAGTTTGCTTTAAAGGATTTTTAGACATCATTTTTTTGTCCACAATGAAGCATGCTATTGCCCCTCATTAATCAGAGGTTAAAATTGAACCTGTGTTTAGTGCTAAAAATCAATACTTTAATAAGGTTTTATATGCATGTATAAGTAGAAACCAACATTGGCATGGTCATCGATGTTCTCATTCAGCTAATGCCTTTACTGGCCAAGCTAATTAGAGTAACAAATGTTTTTCATTACAATTTTAAATACAATGAAATAGTTTACAAAATATCAATCATGTCATTATAAAACACAGGGGATGAAATTGGATTTTTTAAAAATAGACTTAAAATATCTTGATATTCTGAAATTGAAAACAAATTTCAAAATATTAAAAAACAGCTTTTATATATATATAGGAGGCTGCTCCAAATAACTTACTAAATAATGACAGCATATGTAATCTATACTGGTTTAATCCAATTTTTTAAAATTATCATTCTTGTTTATTTCCTGTTTTTCTTGTTACTTAGATAAAATAATATTTTTATATAATTGTTTGCAATAATGCAGCTTTCAGGAAAATATATCTTGGAACATTAACTTCATTCACAAATAAGCTTTTCTTCCTGTAATATATCAATAACAACCTTACAAAATGATCATTTTTATCAGAAAAATAAATACATAAAAAATTTTTAAATAAAAACTCTCTATATAAGAGCAAAATATTCATCAGTCATTGGCCTACAAAAAAACCCTTGTCTGGCAGAAGTACATACTTCTCAATATAAAGAAGTTCATAATACTTTAATGTTTTATTTTATGCATTAAAAGAAAAATTGCTAAACAAATGCCATTAATATTGTTACTTTATTAAATGTTAACTGTGTAGCTATTCTCAAAATTACAACTATAGCTGTAAATTCAAAGTATATTATCAATTTTAGATTTTGTTCAGTATTGTTAAAAGAATATTATGTTATTGTTATGAAGTTGATACCCACACAACAGTAGTAGTCGTCACAAGAGACACTCTCTCCAGTCTATCTCAAGTTTTGACTATATAGTGGTATAGTGATGCTAATTAGTATTAGCCCAACCAATCCCACTACACCTCCCAGAACCTTTTAGGTTTAACTCCCTGTGTTGACCTATTGCTTCTCTTTCATACCCTCCCCCCTTTCACTGGTTTCAAGAGGATTTCTCATTATAGGAGATCTCAACCTACTTCTTTCTTCGTCAATCTCCACTGTTTCATTCTCTGATTCCTCAGAAAACCATTGAGCACTCATTGTCTCTTCTGATCTATTATCTTGTTCTTCTCTATCCTCATTTAACTCCTCAGTATCTTCAGTTTCTGAATCTTCATAGTTTTGGCACAATCTTAGTAAGCATGCACCAATAGACCTCTACCATTCTTGGAAACCAACACTGTTTTCTGTACCTTCTGCATTACAAATCTTACTTTTTCTGGCCTCTCTTCTCCGTTTCTCTTGTACCATACCTTCTCATTCATTGAGTATGACATTGTTAATGATTCTCTGATTTGTCTTCCCATTAACACGAATGGACTTTGTAATCTTTTGGCATGAGGTATTGTCTGATAACTTAATAACAATCTTGGTAGAAAATTTTCAATTCTTTCATGCTGTGGGGAGAATGCTTTTAATCCCATTTTTATGGTTTGCACCATTCGCTCCGCTATTCCATTTGATTGCAGGTGACAAAGAGGAGTTTTATACGGTATGCATCTAATGTATCTTAACCATGAACACAAGTTTTCATTGCAAAACTCTGGAGCATTATCTGTTACCAGTCTCCTTGGTACACCATTCCTGGCAAAGACTATTCATAAAATTTTTTGTACTGTATCTGATTTTCTATCCTAAACATTAAAAACTTCAGGCCATGCTGAAAACGCATCCACCAATATCAGACACAACCCTATACCATACACATGTGCATGGTCCATGTGAACCCTGGATCATGGTTCAATTTCCTTTGGCCACAAATGTGTCTTGTTCTGTTGAAAAAGTTTTTTATCTCCAAACATTTAGGACATTTATTCATGTATGTCTCCATGTCATGAGTGTGACCAGGCCATCAGGCTTCCAATTTTGCCCATTTTTGTGTAGCAGCTATTCTGCAATGCACATCATCATGCACACTTTTGATTACCTCTTTTCTACAATTTTCTGGTGGTACCACCAGATCTCCATTGCAAATTACGCCATTTTCTATTGTCAATTTATGTCTGATCTCCTTGTATGGTCTTTCTGCTTTAGAACAATTACTCCATTTGTTGTTCCTTATTCTCTCTACGATCGTATTCAATACTGGATCTTGTAGAATCTCCATCACGAGCCTATTATTGGGCAATACATTGGTCTCCACCCAATGTAAAATTTCATCTATTTTCTCATTTTTCTCATGTTGTTCCGCCTCAAACTGTAGTCATGATAGTGCATCTACTTGTGGGATCGTGTTTCCTTTCACATATTCTATTTCATAGTCAAAGGCCATCAACTTCATTGCCTATCTTAGTATCCTTGACAATGTGACCTTTGGCAATTCTTTTCTGGGATGGAATATAAATTTTAGCAGTTTATGATCTGACCTGAGCAAAAACTTTTTTCCTAACAAAAATTTTCTTGCTCTGTCATGCTCCATACTATAGCCAATGCTTCCTTTTCAATATTTCAATAGTTCTTTTTGGTTGGTGTTAACTTCCTGGAAAGATACATCACCGAGTATCCTTCCTGTGACAAAATTGCTGATACAGACTCTCCACTCGCATTTGTTGTTAATGTAACTTCTTTATTAGGGTCAAAAATCTTGACAATCGGTTTCTTTGATAATGCTAACTTCAATTAAAAAAAAAGGCTTTTTGGTGAATATTAGTCCACTGAAACTCCTTATTTTCTTTTAGTAATTTAGCAAATGGCTCAATTCTTTCTGAATATTTTGATAAGAACTTTCTATAAAAGTTAGCTAATCCAAGAAATGGTTCCATCTCTTTCTTATTATTTGGAGACAAAACATTCAATATTTTCTGTATCAACTTTGAGTCTGGTGAAGTACCCACCTCTGAAATTTGATATCCCAAAAAGGTTAACTTTTTGCACTTAAATATATATTTATCCTTGTTTAAAGTCATTCCTGCATTTCTGAGTATACTCATTCCTATTTTAGTTTTCTGTTTTAATTCTCCTTTAGTACGGGCACCTAACCCAATATCATCTTGGTATATTATTATATTTTTTACTTTTCCTTCTAGTAGATTTTCCATGGCTTTCTGAAAAATCGAACTGGCTGTCTTAACTCCAAATGGTAAGAGAGTCCACCTCAATAAACCTATGGGCGAGTTTATTGTCATAACTTCTTTGAATTCGTCGTCTATTTGGATTTGGTAGTATGATTTCTTTAAATTGATTTTAGCAAAATATTTCATTCCTGCAAAGGAATGCAATATATTTTCTACATTAGGAATAGGATATGAATCTGAACTAATTTTGTGACTCATACCTACCTTGTAATCACCACACACCCTAACATCACCATTAGGTTTCCTTAAGACGACAATAGGGGATGCCCATCTACTGTCTCCTGGGTCAACATGTTGAAGTATTCCTTCTTCTACTATTTTGTTCAGCTTCTCAATCACCATCGGTTTTATATGTATGGGAAGTCTACGACTTTGAAAATATGACAACATTTCTTTTTAGCTTAATGCTTGCTTTATAATTTTTTAATGTTCCTGTTTCATAACTTCTAACATTGACAGCATTCAGTAATTGTATACTATCAACACTCACTAAGTCAATACCTATTAGGCCATGACTTTTTATACAATCCACTACTATGATGGTGATTGTTTCAAATCTCTTCGCTGTTTCAAATGTCCCTTGAAAGGAACGTAATGTTTTAATACAGGTTCCATCGAATTGTTTTAGTCTTAACTTCAGTCTCCTTAATTTTTCCCAATTTCTACCTTGTTTCCTGTGTTGACTTGCATCTTTAAATTTATACCATTCAACTTTTTACTCTTGAATGTATTTCTTTTGTTTTTCTTTTTTATCGCAAAAACATTTGTTTGATTTTTTTTTTTTTCCGTCCTGTACTATTTCCACATTTCTTACATTGTTGCTTTGCCATTTACACATGGCTTTAAAATGATTCTTTTTTTCTGCAATTATCACATATCTTTCCCCATGTGGGACATTTTTCTCTTCTTGGCTCATGTTCATAACTGCAATAATTACATTTTGATTTTGTTTTTTTCTTCATGGCATCATTTCTTTGTATGTTTTTTTTTATGTCATATTTTTCAATCAACTCGTTCTGCTGTATAAATTCACTACATGCTTCCAAATTCATATTATTGGATTGCAACCTCTCCAAAGTTTTAAGTCTTTGCGTAGTATCGTATAATCCTTCCACCAGTCGAAGCTGAATCAATTCCTCCTCTGCTGTCATTCCTTTTTGTCTAAGTTCATTAAAGTCACAATATCTACTAGTATCTCTTAGTCTACTGAGATATTTCCTAATAGGTTCTCCAGGCTCTTGTTTTTATGCTAGAAATTTGGTCCTTTCAGCAATGACCAATCTTTTTTGAGTTGGATATGCTTTAAAATTATGTCCTCAATGTCTTTAAAGTTTCAATCTCCTCCGGGTACATCATTAAGGATACTTGCTTAATAGCTTTACATCCTGTGGTGGCCATAAATAAATCCATGATTTGTTTCTGCTTCTGGTCATTCGCTAATTTCTTCATTCTGGCCATTGCCTCAAAACACTTTAACCATATAACAACCTCCTCAGGGTTTTCCAAATCCAACATAGTTTCGTTCAGCAACGTCATTTGTTACAAAGTTGAAATACACACAATGGTAGTAGTCGTCACTTGTGATTCAAGTCTATCTCAAGTTCTGCATATATAGTGGTATGATTATGCTAATTAGTATTAGCCCAACCAATCCCACTACAGTTATAATAAATGTTGTAAATGTCAGTTTTGTAAACAAGATATAACATCATAACTAACTTCTGAAATTTGTTTATACTAATCACTTAAGTTAATAAAATTTGAGGTCATTCATTGGTCACAAAATTTTTTTTAAGTATGAACCTTAAATTCTATTGTAAATTTTATCTGTTCAATTGTTAACATTTGAAATAAAAACTGTATAAAATATAATATTTTTAATAACTATTTTAAATAAAAACATTGAAAAATATATTTGAAAAATTCAACTTAAAAATAAAATCTGGCTGAATTTAAATAGGAATTTTGTTTAAAATTATGATCTTGCTTTTAAGATTACTCCATTTAACACTGAATCTTTTTCTTCTTTAGAAGTCTTAACTTGATATTACTTTCTTTTTTTTTTTACAACTTATTTTCTTTTTGCAGCTATTTTTTTTGTTGATTTTACTATGGTTGTAATCATTCATTTAATGAAAATGTTCATTGTTTTAATTATTGTTCATTCTTGGTATATATAGATATGATTTCAAGTTTTGAATAAATTTCCTAAGAAAGGAATAATTTCTTCTTTCAGTTGACTATACCATGCAAAGATATATGTGCTATCACAAAAGAAAAGACTGCTCGTGTTATACCAAATGCTATTCAAATTGCAACAGAGAAAGACAAATACTTTTTCACTTCTTTTGGTGCACGGGATAAAACATTTATGATGCTGTTTAGGATCTGGCAGAATGCTCTTCTGGATCAGGTAAAAAACGCTCTCTTTTTAATAATTAAAAACATTAATATTATTGAAATTACTAAAAATAATTTTTGCTTATTTCTTAATTTTTAGCAGGTGTAATATATAAAACTTTATTGAATATTTTTTTTACTATTGATTTGCCAAAACATGATTTCTAAACAATCATATAAGGGAAACAACTCTTACTATTCTTTCAGTATATGGTAAGATTTTTAATGCTGATTTTGGCAAATTATTTTAATACAGAAAGAACTAAAGAAAAATAACTTTATCTGAATATCTTTTTCTGAAAATGAATAAACTTTGAATACTACTTTCAAAATAATTTTTGTATCAAAACTATTTTTCTTAAACAAACTGGTAAATTGCAAAAATAATTTGATAGACATTGTGGTAATAAAATAAACACATCCCATCTTCTCTCTTGCTAGTAACCATCCATCGCAATAAAATAAACATTTTACAGCACTAAAGCTGAACTATTCAAATAAAGCTTCTACTTTAGTGTTGTTCCTATATTGCACACATGAAAACATGCTATTGTTTGAAATGTTGTTTGAACAATTGAACCTTTTTTTTGTATACTTGTTATTGTTAAAACAACATTTCAGCCTATCTATTAAACCATTGTCAGTTGTATATTTCATGTGCAAGAAAGAAAACTGAATTTGCCCTATTTTGCATAAAGTCAAACGACTACAAATAAGTCAGTTGTCACAAGGACAATTACTTCTACAACACAGACAGAAAGTCAATGCAACAACATGACATAACTGATAGAATCTCTAACACTGGGATGAACCGGGTTTTGTAGAAATGTGGATTCATTGTTTTGTGGCCCAGAGAATGCTCAAAAAGTTAAAAGACAACAAAGTTTCAGGAGGGGAGAACAAGATTACAGATCTCTTTTTGGCTTCAACAGTCTGTGAGGCTGTTAGAAAGATCTTAATCATAGCATATCCTGAAGAATTAGCGGATTTAACCTTTTCAGAAATTCAAGACGTTATAAAAAAAAAGTTGCAACCAAAAAAAGCTGGTTATTGCAGAAAGTAGAAAGTTTCTTGTGATCAAAGTAGAGTCAACCAAAACAATAATACAGTATATACACAAGTTATGAGAGGCCTCCAGATTCTACAAGTTTGAAAAACTTGGCACAGGAGAAATGACCATAGAAGACAAATTTATACAGTTGAAGTTAATAGAAGATATGTGTGATGCTTCATATAAACACAAAATTTTAGGACAATTACAGTTGTGTGAAATGTCCTTAGATGCATGTGTAGAGTTTCTGTAACAATTACAATTGATAAGTTCAATATATCTATGAGAAAGGACAAAGTATATATTTTATCAAACTACCTTAGGTTTGGTTTATTTTGTTTTACAGCATATCAACCTCAGTAGGTTATTTAATGCCAATAAGGTTTTTAGGATAGGTTCATAGGAATAGAATATGTATTCTCTGTAAGAAAACAGTTTGTAGATCAGGTTTCATTGATGTATTTTATAAAGAGGGTTTTTGGCGAGAGTATTGCTGGTAATATTTTTTTTTTTCAAAAATGTATTGCTGGTAATTTTTTTTTTTTTTTTCAAAACTGTATTGCTGGTATTTTTCTTCTAAAAATGTATTGCTGGTATTTTTACTATAAAAATCTATTTTTATACTTTCATAGTACTTTCCATAGCTGAGGCCCTAACGGGTGCTACTCCCCTGGGTCAGAGTGGACCTGGAAACAACAGAAATTAAGAGGTGGTTTATGCTCCTCAAAACCTCCCAATCAGAAGCCTGGCTACTGGATGTAGTTTATCATCATACCCAGGACCTCAAACTACCTTATACAATGCAAGTACTGAAATAAAGAGAATGAACAAGACAAGAAAAAAAATGTCCAGCTTTAAGACAAATATGCTGGAATTGTAAGAAGAAAAATTTCCAGTCCATTTGCAAATATAAAAAGAAATTAGAAAGGATGAAACCTTTACCTTCCCACCTCAGGAAAATACAGATGTATATGTGATACAAAACCCTAAAGAGAAAAGTGCCAGAGAAAAAATTAAATTAAATGGTGTAACTTTTTCCTATACAAGTAGATATTGCGAGTTTTATCACCCTAATCCCAATAATTTTCTTGGGACAAATTGACAAACCCAAATTGAAGAAAAGTTATCTGAAACTAAGACAGTTCGATGACTCTTTCATTAAAACATTAGGTTGTTTTGAGAGAACTTTTGAGACAAACAACTTTTTCAAAATTATTCTCATTACAGTAGTGAAATACAAAAAAAATTGAATGTGGGAACAGATGCAAAATTAATCAACACTGTGAAGTCAGAAAGATTTAAGGATATGTGGGGATTACAAAATAGGTGTAAACCACAAAATATGCTCTGATTCATTCCTTATTCCTAACATTGAAACTGCTATTCATATGTTGTCAGGAATTAAATACTTTATCAAAATTGTCAAATCTGCCTTTAACCAGATACAAATTGATAAAAAATTTAAAGAAGTTACTACAATTAACTCTCTGATAGTTTTAATCAGATGGTGTAAAAACAACAAGTGCTAATTTTCAGAGACCAATTGAGAATGTACTAACTGGTGATGTTAAGAAAATGATTGTTTATCAAGATGATATATGCATTGGTGCTTTCAGTAGAGTTACAACAAAAATCATATTGTTTTAAACAAATTAGAAAATGCTGGAATGACCATAAACAAGTATAAATGTCTATTAAATTGGGTGACAGTAGCATATCTAGGATACCAGATTTCTAAAGATGGAATTTCACCAGAAAAGAATTTGATAAAGAAAATAACAGAAAAACACAAGGAAAAAAAGAATTGGAATCTTTTTTTGGGGTTAGCCAATTTTTATGGGAAATATTTGCCAAAATATAGTGAATTAATAGAACCCTCTGTGGAGTTATATAAAAAGAATATTGAATTTAAATGGACTCAATGCTACAATGTAGCAGAAGTGAGCAACAATTTTATCTCAAGGTCACCCTATAATGAATCTTTCTAGAAGATTAATGTCAGCTGAAGCTAACTATTCAAACATTGAAAAAGACATGTTAGCTATTGTATGGAGCACAGATAGAGCTTGCCAGTTTTTATTAGGCAGGAAGTTTCTGTTGAAATCTGACCATAAATCTTTAGAGTTTATTTCTAACCTCAGAAAGGAGTTACCTAAACTCACATCTAGAATTTTAAGATTAGCCATAAAGCTCATGAGTTTTGATTTCAACATTGAATATGTGAAAGGAAACATTATTCCACATGTTGATGTGCAATCAAGACAATTCAACAAATGATTAGAAAGATCAGACAATTCAGGAGCTAAAATATTGCACTGGATTGAAACTGATGCATTACCCCTAAACCATCTTGCATTTGAAATCTTACAGGATCCAGTATTAAGCAAAATTGCATAGAGAATAAATAGAAACAAATGGATTGATTGTTATGGGGCAGAGAGACCCTATAAAGAGATAAGGCACAAGTTAACTATAGAAAAACATCTTATATGCAATGGAGATGTTTTAATACCACAAAGAGATTAAGAAAAGACATAATAAAAAGTGTACAAAATGATGTCCATTGTGGAATAACAGCAATTAAAATTGGAAGCATGGTGGCCTGGGTATTTACATATATGTAGGAAAATATGTACAAAAATGCCCAAAATGTATAGAAATAAAACAAAATTTTCAGCGAACCAAGATACACTGATGGCCTAAAGAAAAAGAGTCATGAGCTCATGTTCCTTTTGGATCATGCACATGTTAAAGGACTATTTTTAATTTTGGTTGACTCATTCTCTAAATGGCCTGAAGTTGTTATGGTTCAGGATAAGAAGGCAACCACAGTAAAACAAATATTATGAGTAATATTTTCCAGAAATGGTGTGCTAAAAATATTAGTCTCTAACAATGCATCCGAAATTTGTGATGAAACTTTGTGTTCATGGTTAAAACAAATTAGATACCTCCCTTATAAAACCCCACCACATCACTCACAATCAAATGGAATTGCATAAAAAATGGTGCAGACAGTGAAAATAGGGTTGAAGCAAGGCGATCCTTAAGGCAGGCCTATACAATGTATGTAGCTCTTCAGGCACTGGGAGCCAATTGTCAGCATATGATAGTTTGTTGCTGGAATTGGATTAAAAATGAAATTATTTTAAAGAAATTTTTACTTTTTACCTTTGGATTAAGTTAAGTTTATTATTCAAGATACTGAAGTAAGTAATGTTTATTTTATTTGAACTTTTATTTTATCTTTAAACAAACATTTTTGGTACAAAATTCACAAGTGTCATTAAGAATTTTATCACAAAAATAAAATGTTAATATATAAATAATTATTTTTTTCTATGCTATTGTATCATTATTCAACAATGACAATATTAAGTATAAAATTAATTTTTTATGAATAATATGTTTTTCATTAACAGAACAAATAGATATTTTTAAAGTATGTTGAATTTTTCTGTCATTTATAAATAAATAGACAACATTAAAAACAAAGCTAACATTTTCACTGCAAAATTAATGAAAAATGATACTTATGAAAGAATTTAACACAAAGTTAATGTCAAAAATTAAATTCAATAAATTTAATATTTTACAACTATTAAAAATATACCACAAAAATCTAAAGGAAAAGACATAATTGTCTTGTCAATTTTTTTATTATTTTAAACAGGAAAATACACAAAAAAAATGTCATTATTAAGAATTTTGTCACAGAAAGTTAATTTAATTTTTTCTTTATGCTATTATTTTTCATAATAACGAATATCTTGATTATAAAATTAATTTTTTAAGGAATAATTTGGGTTTTCTTTATAACACTTGAAATATGTTGATACAGTTCTTGTAAGAAAACAAAAAATGAATGTAACTTTTTGCTAGGTATCTCCACTAATTGTCTAAAAAAGAGATGAAAAAAGGCCCCAAACTTGATGAAAACAAATTTTTTATTGCCTAAATGTTTGTTTATTATTAAGAGAAAAGACCAAATTATTTTTTGATTATTATTTTGTTTTTAATCCTTCCTAGCACATCTGAAATTTTAGTTAAAAATCTTGTTTTTATTGAGTCAGCAAAATTGCCATAAAATTGATAATATCCACCATTCTTGAGAAATTTGTAAACAAAAGTTAAATTCTCCATTTAAAAATCTTGTAAAAATCAATTATACCATTTTCAAAAGTTATTTGAGGAAAATTAGAAAATTTAAAGTTTATTTAATGTAAATGAAAACAAACATTACTTAATTTTTTAGCAGAAAAAATTTACACTATTTATATTATTCGGATTATTGTCCTCATCTTTGTCGCCATATTTATCACAATGTTTCAGCTGTTGTATGCTCTGGCCTTCTTCAGGTGGTTGGAATGTCAAACTGAACCCTTTATTTCGCTCACTGGAGTAGACTTTTCTAATTCCATGTGCCATGTCTAATGGATGTCAGTTATCAGTTATCTCCTGTTAATTACCCTCTCAAAGTTCTCCAGTTAGTTAGATCCAGTGACAGGACCCAAAGAGTGTGAGTTCAATACCTGGTTAAGGCGGTGGAGAACTTTGAGAGGGGAATTAACAGGAGATAACTGATAACTGACATCTATTAGACATGGCACGTGGAACTAGAACAGCCTACCCCAGTGAGCAAAATAAAGGGTTCAGTTCGACATTCCAACCACCTGAAGAAGGCTGGAGCATACAAAGGCCGAAACATTATGATAAATATGGCGACAAAGATGAGGACAATGGTCCAAATAATGTAAATAGTGAACATAATACCTCATCTCAGAAATATAGACAGATACAGAAAAAATTTACTTGAAAATAAGAGAAGCATGTCTAACCATGGTGACTTGTTTTTGGAGGTATATTGACAACTTAGGTCAGGGGAAGATATCGGATGGAAGGTCAGAAGTGAGAATGTTTTGGAATTTTAAATGAAGGAGGTTATTTAACTGTATAGTAATTTTTAAAAATTAAATACTTTCAAAAGTCTATTTATTGATTTTTTTTTGTACCTTTTTTTTAACTAAGATATGTCCAAAGCCTGCACTGTTTCCAACCCTAAAATTGAAACTAAAAAAGAAAATAATTAATAATTGTAGTATGTCTCTCAATGAAAATCAATAAATTAATTATATTTAAAAAATTAAATTAAAATATTTAGTGAAATAGGATGTGAAAAAGAAAATTAAAAATTTTGAAACTATGACAATGATGGTCAAACAAAGAATCAGTCAGTCAGAGAATTCAACACATGCTTGAAGAACAAAAATGCAAAATTTTCTGATATCAATTTCTTGCTGTCAGGGGAAACAACTCTTAAAACATTTGACATTATATCACACACATCCATCTATATATTTGGAAAAACCTTTTTATGAAACAGTATAAAATTCTTTTTAAAATACATGTGTGTTGCAGATTGTAATAAGCTTTCAAATTTATGATCTGCAAAAAATAATGTGGACATTTGCTAGCTGGATGAAATGGGATGCCAAACATGTGATAACTTACCAGATCTTGAAACTAGGATCCCTAGGATATTAAAATGTCACTTTTGTATATAGCAGGCTATGTTACAAGAAAAGATTGTCCCACAGAAGTGGCAATATTTAAGTTTTTATTTTCAAGAATATGAACTTTTTTGAAAGAAATAGATTGTGGTAATTTAAAAATTTCACTGGATACCACAGGGATACCAGATATTTTTTATTTTCAGTTTTCCCTCTTTTTATATATATTTAACTGGTTAACTTCCCAAACTATACTGTTAATTAATTTTGTGTTCTTGTTAATGTAAATTGATTTTAATTTTTAAAACTATGTGTACTGGTAATATCGATTATTGTATCATAGCAAAGCAAAGTAAGTATTTTCTTCATTTTTTGTGAAAGAAATTATACATGTAAAAAAAATCACAATAAATTTTGTAAAGATTATCAAAATTATTGTTTCTCTGAAATTCACATTTTTTGTAAAGTATTTTCAGACTTTGTTGATACACAATTTTGAAAATGCTGAAATTGCTTTCTGATTGTATTATATTATATTTTCTGTAATCAATTAGCATAAACAAATTAACTCATTATTTTTGCAATATTATCTAAAAAATGTCTAATCTATGGTGAATAAAGTGATTTCTGTATTTAGTTATTTTATGGTTGCGTAGGTTATTTTTGTTCATTCTTTGTACATTTGCATTTATATAAATAAGTCGATAATTTTAAGATGCTTCCTAATATATAGTTGTTAATTAACTAATTACTGGACATTACTAACAAGTTTCTTGCTAAAAATGTTCTCAGTAATTGTTATTTAGTAGTAATTTAGGCCTCCACATGTCCACACCTAGTCATGGACCCCAGTTGCATCACTGCCAGGCCTGGAATAAGGATCGCCTTGGGTTGAAAGCATTTTCCCCATTCAGTGACACCACAGATAACTACCTATTAAGACTATTACTGAGTTATAGAACGTATTCCACATGTAGGTAGTGTGCAAAGTACCACTGCATTGATGGGAAGACAAATTAAATCTCCTATAACAATGTCCTATTCAACAAACAAAAAAATATGGTACAAAAAAAGATAAAGAATCAAGTCCCAAAAAAAGCAAACTTTATTGTACAAAAGGAGCATAATACATCTGTAATAACAAGTGGACAGAATTTACTGGCTCACTCTGATCAAATAAGACTTAGAACTGGCGATGAAGAAGTCGAGATGGAAAAAGTAAAAAAAATGAGGAGGAACCTGAGAGAGAGAAAAGGATGAATTCTTCTGATTTGAAAGTGAACACAGTAGGAAAGAAACTATGAAGGATAGTACACATGAATCTGATATGGAGTTGGAAGATCAGAATGAAGATGAGTTCAGTCCTAGATACTCAATGAAAAGAACCAGGTACACACCTTAAGAAAGAGATAAGATCTCCTGCTATAGTTAAAAGTCAAAGATCAACAAACAGCATAAAAAACCTCTTGGAGGTTTTTAGGAGATACACTAAATGGACTTACTCTATTTTGCATAAAGTCAAATGACTACAAATAACTCAGTTATCCGTCAGCACTAGAGGCTATACTTCTGTGTCACAAACTGGAAGATAACATAACAAAAACATTGTTTTTAAAAAAAACTATGGCAACAGAAAAATAGTTTAAGATATACTAACCAGATCTGTCCATTTCATCAGTGTTAGGTACATCATAACACCATCCAAGTACTCAGCTGATTCCAAAAAATATATTGGAGTTCCTCAACTGCTTTTTTGAAAACTATAGTGTGCTCAAACCATACTAGCCTAATTTACTCATCTAGCCAACAAGCCATTATATACCACTTCTTTAAATGCCCTTCCCAATAATGATCTTTGTTGTTATTTTCTAAAAGTTATAGATAATGATGCTATTTGTTAATATGTAAAATAGAAGTAAAATCATTTACATCCTTAGTCTCTCCATTCTTTTATTAATATGACTTTATACTTAGCTTATTTAAAATACATTATGTATAACAAATGCAATTCTGCTAGAACATCTTAAAATAAGGAATGTATTCCAAGTATTTATAAAAATTAAGTAGAAGTAATAAATTATCTTGAGGGTTACCCTTTTAATATAAAGTTTCCATAAATAATTTAATATATAAATTTATCTATTGTAATTAATTTTTTTACTTTATTTTTAAAATTGCAAAAAGAAACTGGCTTTTTAGGCTCCAGTATTATTATTTTTTAAAAAAGCATAAAGTCCTTATCTTAAAAATAGAATAATCTTGATGATGTGGTGTCTTTTATTGAGTTTTTAAAATGATTCTCTAAATCAATTTTTATTTAAATAAATGTATGAATTATAACTAATTCCCCAAATATCCAAGGTAAATTTATTTAGGAGAGAGTTTAATTAAATAGGCTAAGATTAATAAGTATAAAAATTGTTTGTAAACTGAATTTTTGTAAATGGTTATTATCAATCAGTATACTTAAATAAATCTCTTTTCTCTCTTATAATTGTAAGGAAATTACTACCTTTACCACATGATAGTTGTTATTTTTTCATACACATTTCATGCACTAAATGTAAATACTATTATGGAACAGAGGTAGTCTTATTTTTCAGCTGGAAAAGAGAGATTCCATTTTTTCTTAGAGAATAAATTAGAAATTGTATTTACCCAGTGTGTCAGCATTAACATTAGTTTGTGTGGTTTTACAGAGATATTCTTTCAGTCTACATGTATAAAATTCACCTACTATAGTTTAATGGCTGAGAGGAATAATTACCCATCTTTGTGAAAATCCCACAATTCAATAATGAAAAACAATCCAGAAACATTTTTAACCAGTACATGTGTACATCAAATCACCTTACTCAAAAAAAATAACTGTCAATAACAATAGGTTAGTTTTTTTTGCCTGCTTTTAGTTTTCATTCACAGAAGCCCAGTTCATAATAGTCTTTGAACTTACACTGACAGGTGTAAGTTCAATTTTTCATTATAAGTCACCCTGATCTTAAATATCACTTTATAAAGTTAATTAAAAAAACATTTTCTATTTACAGGTTTTTTTTTCTATCACATAGTTTCTTTTTGTGTATTTTTGGACATGTTTTTATCCTTTCTGCTCTCCTATTTCTGGTTTTCACTCACAGAAACCTGGCATATAATCCAATTAGTCAGTAGGGCATATTCAGTTTTTCATTACCTACTTTTGTTATCATATTGTGGACTTGTAATTCACAGATTTAATAAATCAAATAAATCTAAAAAAAATTGATTAATAATACTTTTGTCATAACAGATAAAGTTAGAATTTTAAAATAATAATATCTAATTTATGTGTTCATACAATATTTTGTAGCCAATGACACCTCAAGAACAGTGGCACTGGGTTCACATCAGCTATGGAGAAGAGTTAGGACTTACATCTAGTGATGATGACTATGTACCTCCTCCTGCTCCAGATTATGTAAGAGACCGACATACTGGAAAGGATGATGGCAGTTTGGCCGGCAAGGTAAGAAAAAATTCAAAATCTCCTGATGGTCCTTCCTTTCTGTGAAATGTTTGTAAAAAAAAAATGTCACTGCAAAAGCTGAAATATACAAGGGGGTGCTGAAAATTTCTTTTTGTGTGTGTATACACATATGCAGATATATTTGTAAGTATTTGACCTAATGATGAAAAGAAAACATCTGTTTTCCAGTATAATCTCCTTACTTGTACTTAATGTACTTAATTCAGTCTTGAATATCAGGCATATAGACTGAAAATTATATGGTGAAATTTTCACATAAATATTCTGTTCATAACTACATGTCAGGCTGCAGACATACTGATGCTACTTTATTTATATATATATATATATATATATATATATATATAAATTAATTGATTTTTAAAATATGTTTTTTTTTTCGCTACACAGTTCTAACCATGTTTCAAAAAATATGGGTTTTTATTCGCTACACAGTTCTAACCATGTTTCAAAAATGAAAGCTAAAAGCCACAAATTTAATTTTGTGATTAAATCAAAGACATTAGTTCCATTTATCCTCAAGCGAATTTTGGAGTAACTTTTTAAAATTACTGGGTTTTAAATACACAGCTAAAAACAAAATTCATGTTTCAAGGTTACAGATAAATCTATTTTTCTGAACAGGGGTGGCTGGGTTTTCAATAGGTCTATAATTTAATGTCTCAGTTATTGCTACGTTTGGGTCGTGGGAAGGGATGTATTTTTCAATGAAATCTAACTTCCGTTAAAGCCTGTCGTCTAGATTTTTTTTAAAATTCTTATGGCCTTTTTTTTTTTTTTTCGTATATTTAAAGTATATTATGATTTTTTTTAAATTTTATATTTAAATATTTCGAAAGTAAAATTTTTCATTACTCCGATTTAGTAAACTTTATTTATTTATTTAATTACAAATTAAAGGAAGTTTAGGTTAGAATTCATTTTAATTAACTACAGTTTTAATTACAACTTTAAAATATTTTCATTATTAGTTTTTATAGCCTATATTTCAATTAATAGAAGTAAAATGTTACTTACCATCAGTAAAATTATTTTTCTATATCAAGTATATTTATATTACGATTTTTAAAATTTTTTTTTTATATTTAAATATTTTTTAAGTAAAAATTTTTTTTTATCTTTACGGCAAAAATAGCTACTTCATTTCTCTATTTTAGTAAACTTTATTTATTTATTTAATTACAATTTAAAAGAAGTTTAGTTTAGAATTCATTTTAATTAACTACAATTTTAATTACAACTTTAAAATATTTTCATTATTAGTTTTTTTAGACTATATTTCATTTAAAATGTATCCGAACTGTGTAGCGAAAAAAAAAACATTTTAAATCAATTAATTTATAATATTAATGCTCTGTAAATTTACATTGAGCACTATTTTGTAAAAATAAAAAAAATCTATAAGAACACGGATTATATTTTTTGCTGTTCTTTCTTTTTATATATATATATATATATATATATATATATATATATATATATATATACAGAGAGAGAGAGAGACAGAGAGAGAGATAATGGTGGATTTGGGCAGCAATCCCTCTTTTATACACGTTTCATTAAAGACAACTGACAAGGTACTGCAATTAAGCTTTTGTTATATAGGGATAAAAGTCTTGCTGCCAACACTGGAGTATGAACACAGATCATTAGAGAGCAGGTGATCCCATTTTGAATAAGTAGAACATGTGATGGTAAAGGAAATGTATATATGGGAATTAGCATGGATCACTATTCAGATCACTTTTTACTATACAGACCACTTTTTTTTACACTATCCTTTATTACTATACAGATCGCTATTCTCTATACTATTAATTCTACTATTTCTCTATACTGATCACTACATGGATTACTATTTTGTGGTTACTTTATGAGCAAGTATTATCAAGTAAATTCTATTAGTGTGAGTGATATTTGAAGTTGTCTGATACCACTATTATTCAACAGTGTTATTATAGTTGTATCTGCAATTACAAAGTCTCTACTACAACGAGCATTGCGAAAATGATAACAAGTATTCATTGACATTACAAAACAGGACACAATTCACATATAGTGAATTTAAGGTTTTTTGTAAATTGTTAGCAATAGAACATATTACAACTCACCCTTATCACCCAAAATCAAACGGACAAGCAGAATGATTTATCGATACGTTTAAAAGGGCACTAAAAAAGTCTGAGGGAGAAGAATCAGATGAAGTAATGCTTCAACAATTTCTGAGTGTTTTCAGAATAATGCCAAACCCAAACACCCTGTCTGGAATGTGGCCTGCAGAGTTGATGTTCATTAGGAAGATTAAAACCGTTTTTAATAAATTATTACCAGACATAAGGTGAGAGCATCAAGAAATAACAATATAAGTAAATACTTCAAACCTGGAGATAAGGTACTTTTTAAAATGTATCAATGTGGAAAAGAATTCTGGGAAGATGACGTTATAAAAAAAACAGATCGGCAAAATGACATCCATGGTACCAGGGACAAAGGTGGGAATATAAGCAACACCTTAATCAGTTAAAATGCTGATTCACCAATTTAAAAAGTCTCCAAAAAGAGGTACCAATGGAAATTTTGTATGACACATTTAACATACCTAATGCCATCAGAAATTGTTGAACTGAAGCTGAAGAAATATAGTCTCTAATGGAAGTTAACTCAAAGCGGGGATGTTATATAGGAATAAAAGTGTCGCTGCCAACACTGGAGTTTGAACACAGATCACCAGAGAGCAAACGCAGACAATCACATTTTGAATAAGTAGATCATGTGATGATAAAAAAATGTATATATGAGAATTAGCATGGAATCTAAGTGATCACTATACAGATTACTATTCAGATCACTATTTCTACACTATCCACTATTACTATATGGATTGCTATTCTCTATACTATTCACTATACAGATTACTATTCAGTCGTTACTTTTCAAGTGAGTATTATAGAGCAAGTACTTTTAGTGTGAGTGTTATTCAAAGGTGTCTGACACCAGTATTGTTCAATGGCATTACCAGTATTGTTCAACCGCAATACTATAGTTGTATCTGCAATTACAAAGTCTCTACTACAGCGAGCATTACAAAAGTGACAATGAGTATTCATTGACATTACAAAAGTGGCAGCTAGTGTTTGTTGATATCACAAAAGCTTTTTATTTAATTTTTCTTGTGTTCATATAAGGGTTTTGTTTTCTGCATATAAAGTGTGCATAAATTGTCCACTTTTGGTTATTCTTTTAGCCATTATTAAGGATGATTTTTTTTTTAATTTTCAACTGAATGTATGAATTCTTTTAATGCATATATGTATGTATCTAGAGTTATAGGAATGTTTTATTTTACAAACATGTTTGGCACATTGTGACTGTGTTCATAGTTGATATTATTGAGTTTTGGCTTTTTCTTTTTTATTATTAATGCTATGGTCAGAAAGGTCTTCTTGATAGGCATGTAGTGATATGTTCAATGTAATTATTAATCAATTTGGTTTGACCAAGCACACATTTCTTTCAGGGGCATGTGAATTCATAAATAATATTGTTTTTCTGTAATTTAAATATTGCAGGTGATTTGTTATTGTTGATTATTTATTTTAAATTTTTTATAGTAGATAATTAATTTAATTTTCTTATTCTGGTTGACTGGAATTGTGTATTTCTTTATAATGTTTCTTGTTTATAGTTAACGTGTATTTGGCTTTTATAGAAAATGTTAATGTTATTGTTTTTATCTGTATGTTCAGTATTGCTATTAGTTACTTTTTGAAAGCATTATAAAGAAATACATTATAATCCACAGATTGTAATGCCTACAGACTAATAATTGCCTAAAATTCATATATTATTAAAAAAAAAAAAACATAAATTTTAACCTCATCATTACAAATAATACAAAAACACTTTGCAAAAGGAGACTGTCTCTATTGATAATAAAAATATCAATATATATTGGTTATATATTTAGAACATTAGCCTGTCACCTCACTGAGTAAAGTGCAATACACAAGCATATAACACAAATCCATAACAATCTGCTAATTTCCATCAGATTTTGGTCAGCAGTACAATTGTTCTCTGACAATCTAACTGCAAAAGTCAATTGCAAATCCTGTAGGCCTATTAAATTAAGAGAAATCCAACTACAATTAATAAAATTTATTCTAGTTTAGCTGCTTATGTGTTAAGCTGTAAATTTATGTTTACGATATAGCACTAAATTTTATTTCATAGTCATAATGTGTGATCCCATGATTATTTCAAGTTTTAAGCTGACAACAAATCAAATGCCATACTGGCTATTTCTTTCCTTGAAAATGACTAAGAATGATCTAGTAGATCTTAACATTTTGTTTTGGCAAGTCCCTTCAAAAGTTTCTACCTGAAATAAAATGACACCAGGAAAAATCCGCCAAAAGGATCAATAGACATTGTTGGCTCTATTTACTAAAACAAGTTTGAAATATATATATATATATATATATATATATATATATATATATAATATATATAATGATAATATATATTAGAAAAAAAATCATTTCTTATTAAACCTAAAAGGCAGTTTCTATTTGACTCAATGTACAATAAGCTAAAATGTTCATTTTGAAGTGCAAATTTCAATTATTTAAACAAGATATTTAATATTTATATATAAAGTAAAGATTTTGTGGTATCTTTTTCCACTTAAATTTTCAATAATTTATTGATTTTTATATTGAATATTACAATTTTCTATTTTCATAGTTGAATTATTATAAGATTATATACATTATAAAAAATAAACTCACTTATCATATAATAATAAGCAATGTAATTATGAAAACAGTGTAGATATGATCTCTCTCTCTCTCTCTCTATATATATATATATATATATATATATATATATATATATATATATATATATCCAGACTTTTTATTCTGCTAAGTGTTTTGTAATCTCTATATCTAGCCTCAGTTCTGTAATTTCTGAATTTTTCTTCCATACATTTATGGTATAAATTTTGCTTAAGTTTCTTTTTT